TCCCCAAGTTCCTCTCTGCTTTTACGCGTGCCTCATTAATTATCGCCATCGTCTTCCAGCACTCGGCTAAATGGCCGATTCGACCAAGTTGCTTATTGCCGCTCCGCCGTCGCTCATTCAAGAAGTTCAAGACGAGCCGGTATTACTTCCGTGTGAAGGATCGCTAAAAGGTATATCGCACGCCTGTCCGTCCTTTGGCCGGTGCTATCGATTCTTTCGATTCATTAACATCCCCGCGCGCGTGCTCGACGAAGAAGAGAGGGAAGAAAGGGGGAGAGGATGGAGGGGTACGCCGCTGCCGTTGCCTTTTGAAGCGAAAATTGGCCGATAACGCGTCGGCCGCTATTTTTTGCATGTGTGTATATCGCGATATTTCGCGATCGCAGGCCCGCGGATCGTTAGCGTCACTGAGCGGCTAATTGAACGCGCGCAGCTTGGATTTATTCTATCCGCTCCCTTGGCGGCCGTCCGATAAATCGTTCACTGGATTCGACCGCCAGGGGGGACACGACAATCAATTACTTTTCGCCGCATAATTGATCGCAATCCTAATAATTCGAGCCCTGTTTACACAGGTGCGCGTAGTGAAATGCGCCATACGCCCTACGCTGGGCGTTACAAAGGTGATTAATCAATGCCGAGCGGATGTATATATACGCCCATAGTGTATATAAACTAGAATTTAACGTCGGATCGATATATATATATGCGCGTAATACATTCGACTAATCTGATTAACGATTGCATCGATTTCCTTCTTGCGATCCGAGCGCATTTCGCAACGTAACGGAACGCCCGTCTGAAAATCCATTAGCACGCCAGCGAATGTAAGTAGCCATGCGTAATTGTACGTACATGCGTGCGCATAATCTGCAAGCGATATTGTCCCGACCCGAGTCGATCTGCGGGCGGCTTGAATTCCTGCGCTAAAATATTTCGATAGCCTGACAGTCGTGACAGTTGACGTAACGTTCTTGTGCGTTTCGAGAGGAAGGGAATGAATGAGTGAGTGAGTGAGTGGCATTTATTAATGATCTAGGAGGCCTCTTGAGATATGAAATATTACAAAATTGTTTAAAATAAACCAGAAAACGTAGTCACGCGTGCGATATCGACAATCGGTATACAACGTTCGCCATATTTACAGAAGTGCTCTAACTGAGAAACAAATATTTAAAAATTTATTTGTGGAATATAAAGTTTACTCACAAAAATAAATTTTGCTTCACGGAAATGGACTTTATATCTTACAAATAAATTTTTAAGTATTTTTCTCAATGCACTCTCTAAATTTCTTGGAAATGTGAAAATTCACTCAAAAAGGAGAGTACCGAATTCGAACGATTTTTCACTCATATAGAGTGAATCCCTCACTCTGAATCGACGAGCGAATATTGTCACTTGAGATTGAAGAGCGAATCTGCTGTAAAGTCGGCTGCGAATCGGTTTGCACATTTTTTATCGAATGAAACTGCAACGCTCCAAATTGTCAGAATTGAAAGCCGCTGCTGACGTTTGTATGCGCAGTAATCGATCATGAATACATAAAAATTGCTTCTCGAAATAATGTTCGTTTAAATTTAAAATAAATTCCTCCCTCGCGCGAAATTTTATAAATATCACACTCTGTTCTGTCACTTCGGCTGCTGTCATAATCGATTACTGCGCGTACACGTCAGCAGGTGTGGCTTTCAATTCTGACAACTTGAAGCGTTGCGATTTCATTCGATCAAAAAGTGTGCGCACCGCTTTGCAACCGACTCTATGCTCCACGCTCTGTCGCAGTAACATATTCAGTCTAATCGAATGAAACATTCACTCTAGCGATTTACGAGTGACAGTATCCTCGCTGTAATCACTTTGAATGAAAATATCGCCGCCGTTCGCTCGTCTTGCGTGGGATTTCGCTTGAGAAATTTTGAGAATAAATCGGTAATACTGAAAATTACTTGGTTTCAACATAGATGAGAGGGGTAGTGATTTATTATTTTAGGGGAAGGGGTAGAGAAGGGGTCAGAAGAAAAATCATCCAGCCTTGACGTGGAAAATCCAAATTTATAATAATTTAACGAAACTCACGCGAGTTACCGTCTGCCGCAGTCGACCTCTCCACTTAAGCGGGTGCTGCCGGTCGTTAGCGGTCGAGCGCCAGTCGAGAATCCAGTCTATACGCGGTACGGTGATTCCCGAGCTAACAGTCGCTTTCTGGCCTTGTTTGCAAGTTGCATCGGCGAATTCGCGGCCACTGTTACAAGCGAACAAGTGGTGCTCTGTCTCTCTCTCTTTCTCTCTCTCTCGAAACATTCAGTGTGATAGATCGAAATCGCGAGGGGACTCGCGTTTCCAGCTCGACGACGACGAGCGCGCCGCTTCAGCGCGCTAAGTTAATCACATAAAAATCGCGCGAAACCAGAACTGTAACTCTCCGCGCAAACAGAATACATCGCATCAATATTACCGGACTATGTAATACTCCCTCGCTGATCCGAAGAATCCCGAGATTGGAGGCGAGCGCGAGCGCCGTGCGACCAAGTACGTGATTATCGGCTGACGGAACTCGTAATATACGATTGATGCCGCGCAGCGATGAATTTTGTAGAGAAACTTTGGATCCCTGAGGTCCCGGTGCTGCTCAAACTCGGAATATTAATGCGTTCGGGGAGAAGGCAAGAAGAAGAAGCGGTCGAGTGCGCGATCGCGAGATATATTCGGAGCGAGCGAGAGTTTTTCGCGCGCGCGCGCGCGTACGCCTGTGTGCTTCTTCACGACACATACACGCGCGCGCGCGCACACGATGTGTACTTGTCGCAACCTCACGATGCCTCAACCTGTCCTCAATGGGCGCACGTGCAGCGAATTCGCCCAGAGGGCCGACGGCCATTATTCTCCCTGTGGACAGAGTCCTGTTGCATTTCGTATTCGGCGGCGGCGGAGGCGGCGACGGCGGCGGCGGCGGCGGCGGCGGCGGCGGCGGCGGCGACGGCAACGACGTCACATAGCGCCGGAAGCCGAACTTGCTGCCGCAACGGCACGTGCTCGAATACAATTTGCCCCGGGTCAGGCAGAGACATGCACTCTCGCGCACTAGGGTTTGTCAGAGAATTAAAGTAGTTTACTCGCTGTCGTTTAGTCGCGATAGATCGTACGCTTTCGCGCGCTCAGATCCAGGTTTCGGAATTCGTGTGGAATTCCAACGGTGAGTTAAAGCTGCCGAGGACTAATCGGCCGCGGAAATTTGGAGAAGATGGTTTATTTATCTGCTGTCTAAAAAGGAGTATAATCGGTACATACTCTTTATTGAAATGCTAAATGCTTGTATGTGGTGATTCGGTTATAAGTAGAATGTAGTGTTACAATCAGTAAAATCTCACTCAAAAGATCAGATAACAGCACCGACTGTTCTCATTATTCATACAATTTGCAAAAGCAGACAGTGTCATCATGCAAGATGCATGGAGGTCACCAGTGCTATCGCTACAAACGCAGAAAGTTGAATTTTGCTACAACAGAATCGATTACGGTAATGAATTTGTGCACTACAGATTTTGCAATGAGATCTTACCTCCACTGGTTACAAGAGATTAGTGAGAATTTAGTGAATATATATTGATTATAGGTGAAATGTTCCTTTTATTAATTAAAATCAAGAGCATTTTTACTCACTTTAAGAGAGTATTTCCTGGAGAATTGAAGAAAACTCGAGAAATTAGTCATTCGATATTCCGGTGTCTCTTTTGTGAAATGTTATCTTTCTCTCAATTATTTTCTCGGTTACTTGCGTATTTCGTGACGATTATCAAGCAGCTGGCGACTCGCTAACTAACTGTGACGTAGCGTCACGGACTATAATGCTTATTTCCCACGTGTGCACACGGTCTGATATACGCGTTACGAATAGGATTTCAACCCAGCTTAGGTTTCACAGTGAAACGAGCAACTGTACCACTGACTAATTGTTGTACTGGTTGTTACTGTACACGCTAGTCTTATTAGAACGAGCTCTCTTCGCAAAAGAGAGACGTTTCTTATTTCCACCGGTGGCAAAAGTGCATTAGCAAACAGAAATAAACCACTTTCAGAAACTCCAAAAACCCTAAAAAGTATGAAATAATTTTGCCTCAATATTCCTATCTACTTAATTAGAAGTCGGCGTAAAAATTTGACAGATTGACTCAATAATCATATCCTTTTTTTATTATTTGCCTCTTTACAGTTATATATTTAATTATCTATCTAATTTGTATTCTTTGTCGACTTCTAATACCATTAGAATATCAGGATAGAATTGTACACTCATAGGAATATTAATCCAAAATTATTTCATAATTTTCAGGGCTCTTGTAAGCGATCTATTTTTCTTTTTACTTTAATTGTCTTTTCTTATTCACTTATTTTTTTTTTATTAATTCCTTTCTCGTACTTCTTTTAATTATTTACTAAACATTCTTTTTTGAAGTTAGTTAAAAACAAAAGTTTCGCCCTGTATCTCTACATGTTCCTGGGGATTTTCAAGAAAGTAATGGAATTACCCAATTTCCGAGTCACCTGGACAAACCCGGACAAATAACGTTAATTTAAAAAGCATGTAGATAACATGCTGTACAAGTTACAAAAACTTTCATTTCATATCTCTAACGGTTCTCGAGTTATGGAAGAGCATACAAACAAACAAGCAAGCATCCATACAGAACAAATTAAAAACTTTTTTTTGAAGTCGACTAAAAAATTACTTCTCGACACGCGCGCGGGCGAGAGAGAGAGAGAGAGAGCAAATAAATTCGAGGGTTGTTTATTCCAGATAACAGGAATAATTAAATTGTCCTCTCGTTATGTTATTTCCGAGGAAAAAAGTTGTTGACGTTGCGGGCGCTCTACTCCTACCCCCTCGTACCCCTTCGTAAATGTGCTTTGACAAGGGTCGCGATTATTTGTGGTACACACCCTCCGGAATAACGCACGAGCCGTGACTGACATTCGATTTTTCTCGTTCTTTGTCGCAGAGAGCCTTTGCGGGCGCCACGAGAAACGCTTATTGAATCACCTGCTGTTAAATTACAACACCTTGGAGCGACCGGTCGCGAATGAGAGCGAGCCGCTGGAGGTGAAGTTTGGCATCACTCTGCAGCAAATCATCGACGTGGTAAGTGATAGAGTCTATCTTTGTTTATCTCGCATAGAATAGTTTACGGACACATTTCGATATGAGTCTTTTTATTGAATAAATCTAAAAGAACCTCTTCGATCAATGACTAACACCAATCCGAATATTCTGCCTTGTATCAGGCAGAAAATGGCCTAGAATTCTCTTTGAACTGCAGTAGGTCACATTGACGTGAGTTGAGATCAGAAAGATTACCAATTTTGATCGTTATTTTTTTTTGCACAATATTGTTTGATGAAGAATATTTTTAACTTCTTTCTGTTATTACTGTATGTGACTTTTAATTAAAATGTTGGTACTTCATTTCATAGTATCTATACAGATCGAGACGAATCGGATCATAGGGTGAATCGAATCAATATAATCCATTTTCGTGTATTGGTATTTTCACACCAATTTGGCAATTGTATGTCCGAAGACATTATAATTACATCCGTTTTGCTAAGGTGACCAGATTTCCCAGTCCTGAATTCGGGACACTTCATAAATGTGTGAAGCGGGGAGAGGGGGATAAAAAGATCTGAAAATTACTTGACAATCATTGAAAATAATGACAAACCGGCGTCCCGAATAGCACTCGAAAAAACTCGGGACAAAGGGTAAAAAATCGGGACGTCTGGTCATCTTAGCCGTATGTGTCGAAAAGGGAGGAGATTACTCCGTAATAATGTACTTACGATATGTTCTGCACGTCGTTATTTTCGGCACTCTAATACTTATTTCCGCAGGAGACTCACAGAACACAAACGAAAGACGTATGGAATACGGAGCGTTGTGTCCATGGCAGTTGCTCGGCATGAAAAGATCGCGGACGCGCTGTCAATCACGTACACCAAAAGTTCATTAGCGCGCCGAAAGTGCCAAAAGTACATGAATGTGAACGCGCCAGTGATGCAAACGAGGTCGCGCGTCTACAACGACGCGATCTGTACGGCGGACGCCTTAACCACTTGCTCGAGTTACTAACCGCTCTAGACCAATCGCGTTCGTTTCGCATTACAAGGTTGTCATCGTGGTTGTTCAATCTAAGCGTTGGTAATGAATCACGCGAAATGCTCGATCTTTTCGCGCCAAGCAGCAGCCATGAGCACACATCGATCCATATCGCTTCGCGTTTCTCGTGTCTTTCATCCGTCGAAAAAATGAGTCTCGCGCGTTAATAAGTCTCGGGAGTGTCGAGAATAGTGATGTGCGATCGCTGTGGCGTATCGTGAAGACGTCATTTGTAAGTAATCTTCTCGTTTCTTTTCGCGGAATATGCGGCCGGTGCTTGTCGCGATGTGTCGCGCCGACGTCCCTTATATTTGCTAAAAACATCGACTCGCTCAAGTAGCAATAGAATCGGGCGATCGTCGGATTTATTGAACGGGAATTAGAAATGCGATGACAATCAGAGAGAAAGAGGGAGAA